AATTCTCAGTTCATATGTTACTGAAGCCTAGCTTGCAGAATCTCAAGTACAACTTTTTTGGTGTATGAAATGAGTGCAATTGCTTAGTAAATTTGAGCATTCTTTGACCTTGTCCTTCTTTAGGATTAGGATGCGAACTAATCTTTTCCAATCCATCGGCCACTGTTGAGTTTTCCAAATTTGCTGGCATATGGAGTACATCACTTTAAAAGCATCATCTTTTAGGATTTTAAATAGCTCAGCTGGATTTCTATCTCTTCCACTAGCCTTATTGTTAGCAGTGCTTCCAAATGCCCACTTGACTTCATTCCCCAGGATGAATGGCTCAAGATCAGTAACCATATCATTGGAGTTCTTGGTGATGTTAAGATTTTTCTTGTATAGTTCTTATGTATATTCTTGCCAACTTTTCTTAATTTCTTCCACTTCTCTTAAGTCCTTACCATTTTAGTCTTTTATCATTCCCATTTTTGTGTGAAATTTTCCCTTGATATCTCTAATTTTCTTGAAGAGGTATCTTGTCTTTCCCATTCTATTGTTTTCTTCTATTTCTTTGCATTGCTCATTTAAGAAAACTTTCTTATCTCTTCTTGCTGTTCTCTGGAATTCTGCATTTAGTTTCCCATTCTACTTCACCTTTTGCTTTCCTTCTTTCCTCAGCTATTTGTAAAACAGCCTCATCAGACAACCATTTTATTTTCATGATTCTTTTTTTCCTTTGGGATGTTTTTTGTTGCTGCCTCCTGTACAATATTGTGAACCTCTGTCCATAGTTCTTCAGGCTATCTATCTACCAGCCACAGTCAGATCCAGGTCTTGTTTTAACTGACTGTATAGAGCTTCTCCATTTTTGACTGAAAAGTATATAATCAATTTGATTTCGATGTTGACCATCTGGTGATGTCCATGTGTAGAGTCATCTTTGGGTTGTTAAAAAAGAGTTTGTTATGACCAGTGAGCTATTTTGACAAAAATCTATTAGTCTCTGCTTTGCTTCATTTTGTACTCCAATGCCAAATTTGCTTGTTATTCTAACCTACTTTAGCATTCCAATCCCCTTATGATAAGTGTGATGTCTTTTTTTGATGTTATTTATAGAAGATGTTGTAGGTCTTCATAGAACTGATCAACTTTGGCCTCTTCAGCATCAGTGGTTGAAGCATAGACTTGTATTACTGTGATGTTGAATGGTTTGCCTTGGATTGAAACATGTAATTCTGCCATTTTTTTGAGATTACATCCTAGTATTGCTTTTCACACCCTTTTATTAACTATGAGGGCTACTCTATTTCTTTTAAGGGATTCTTGCCCACAGTAGGATATGTAGTGATCACCTGAATTAAATCTGCCCATTTCCATCCATTTAAGTTCACTGACACCCAAAATGTTGATGTTTAATCTTTCCATCTCCTGTTTGACCACATTCAGCTTACCTTAGGTCATAGATGTCACATTCTAGGTTCCTGTGCAGCATCGGACTTTCCTTTCATCACCAGACACGTCTGCAGCTGAGCTTCCTTTCAGCTTTGGCCCAGCCATTTCATCAGTTCTGGGGCTACTTGTAATTGTTCTCCACTCTTCCTCTGTAGTGTGTTTGACATCTTCTGACCTGAGGGACTCATCTTCGGGTGTCATCTCTTTTATCATTTTAATACTGTATATAACTTTTTTTGGCAAAGATACTGGAGTAATTTGACATTTCCTTCTCCAATGGATCACCTTTTATCAAAACTCTCCGCTATGACCTGTCCGTCTTAGGTAAGCCTTTGTGACATAGTTCATGGTTTCATTTAGCTACACAACCTTCTCTGCCACAACAAGGCAGAGATCCAGGAAAGGCCTGACATGTAGTAGGTGCTTAATAAATGTTTATTGATTAGTTGATTCTAGGCCATGTCAAACCTTAGCAAAAAGGGACTTATACTCAATTTGACATATCCTAGCAACTATCTCCCATAATCTAATTATAATTTATTATGCCATCTTTGCATATCATCTTTTTGATAGATTTTTTTAAGAAAAACACATACTAGATAAACAACATACATTATGACTAAAATCCATATTTCAGTAGGAAAGCAGATGCCAAGAGGGTTGTTCCAACAGCATCACAAGACAGCCCTTCTCTCTAATATCTTGAAGTATAAATTTCCCTTTGGGGATTTGTGCTCTTTTCCCCAATGTCATGAGAGTCTAGGGGGGGTTTATGAGGGGTTAAGAAAGACTTGATTATTTGAGTTTTCCTGTCAGTAATATTTTGTTAATATGGTTCAAGTCCCCTCCTGGATCATTGCCTTGTTGTGGCAGAGGGGCTTGTATAGCTTAATGAAACTATGAGCTATGCCATGCAGGATTACCCAAGATGGACACGTCGTAGAGGAGAGTTCTGACAAAAGGTGATCCACTGAAGAAGGAAGTGGCAAACCACTCTCATATCCTTGCTAAGAAGACCCCATGGACAGTATTAAAATGATAAAAGATATGATACCAAAAGATGAGCCTTTCAGGTAGGAGGATGTCCCACACACTAATGGGCAAGAGTAGAGGGCAACTTCAGGTAGCTCCAGAAGGAATGAAGGAGCTGGACTAAAGCCAAAAGGAAGCTCAGTTGCAGATGGGTCTGGTGATGACAGGAAAGTATGATGCTGTAATGATCAGTATTGCATAGGAACCTGGAATGTAAGATCTATGAACAAAAGTAAGCTGGACGTGGTCAGACAAGAGATGGACAGATTGAATGTCAACATGTTGAGTGTCAGTGAACTTAAATGGAAAGGAATGGGCAGATTAATTCAGGTGATTTTTACATATAGTACTGTGGGCAAGAATCCCTTTGAAGAAATAGAGTAGCCCTCACAGTCAATAAAAGGGTGAGAAAAGCAGTAATGAAATATAACCTCAAAAATGACATTTGTCATTGCTCAGATCATATGGAACAGATTTTAAGAAGACGTTTAAGGCTTAGAATACAGCTTAGAGTTTATGGAGGAATAAAAGGTGCCCATATTGATAAGAAAATAAGCATAAAATACATGGATGTTGTTTGGCCTTCATGGAGTGTTCTGATTGTATTTTCAAGTAGGCATCCTACATGTCAGGGGCTCTGCAGAGTGAGCATTTCAAAGATACTTAACAGTTAAGCAGAAACTTAGCATTGGAATCAACTGGGTGATACATTGGGAAGTACTACTTCTTTTGAAATCCATCTTGTGTGACCTTCCTTCTCCTCCATCCCATCTGTCCTTACTCTTTTCATTTCTCTTCTCCACTTGACTTTATACCTCCTTCTTTAGTTTAAGGCTTAAAAAGTTTTCTGTCCTTAGGAGTCAAGCCACCCCCTTCTTCTTTTTCCTTTGGGCCATGCTTTTTTCCACACACCCTTCTTCCACTAATTTTCTTGCTGATTAGTGCAGTCTCTAGGGGTCCCTATCTGTGTCCTCCTATGATACTTACTTGAGATAAATTCTAAGAACAGTCTTTCTTAGGACAGTGATTTATTTTTATTTTAGAAGTATCATTTGGTAATATAGACATTCATGACAGTATCCAAGGTGCCACTGGTAAAACAGCATGTAAAATTGACATGCTTCTCAGGATAATGTGGATGAAATCACTTCTGCCAAAAGTATAATTCTTCCCACTGTACTCACTAAATAAGCAACGATTTGATAGTCTGTGAGCGCATGTGGGGAGGTGGGAGACGAATTCATTCAGACAACTGACTAAAAGTTCTGTATCTTTTTGCCAATGGTTGACCTGAGTTATATATCACAAAGTGAGTATTTTCCTATTTGCCTGATACCATCTTCTCTGGCTAATGCTAGAATGGCATTCGCTTACCAGCAAGACATTGCATAGGCTCCTTGGGAAATGGTAATGTGTCTGTGATCCATCAGTGTCTAGGCTCTCTGTGTCATTATAAAAGTGTGAAGAAGTTATGTGCCAGTTGAGCTAGTCCAAGACAAAATTTAATGTACTGAGAGAAATTAATATTATACTATTTTATTAATAACTAATTATTAAGGATGACCCATCCTTTTCCCCTTCTAACTCCTGTTAAGGTCAGTCAGTCTCTGAAGGACATGGCTGATTGATGAGATTCCTTCTATCCCTCAGGGAATATGTTTGTCAGCTTTTTGAGGGACCCCACCCAACTAGGAGACCTAATTTCTGTTTAGAGCACAAACAGAATCCACTCTAGGCAAGACCTTGCCCTGGGGAAAGGAACCCCTGCCCTTGATCTCCTCCCTTAGAGTTTAGAGTGACCCAACTCATGAAGGAGAAAACCAGCTAGAGAGATCCAGACGGAGATGGCTTCCTCTTGCTCAGATATCTTGAGGCTGCTGAGTCTTACGATCAAGCCATGTTCTCAGTAGGAGGAATAGAAGATTTTAGCCCACCTCCTCATTAAATGTCCACCAATCTGGGTTGATTTTCACTTGTCAGGGGAGTTCCCTTTCAGAAGAGATTTAAGGCATTTCAGGGTCTCCCTTGGTATCTTTGGTTACTGAGAGAAACCACTCACCATCAATTTATTGATTGTCAGCTAGTGTAATTAATAAATTGATAATTAATTACCCAGAAACTCTGTCTTTCAGGTTTTTCATTTGACTCAGCACTAAACTAGAGGTGTCAAATACATAGCCCACAGGCTGCTTACAGCCCACAATACTCCTGAGTGCAGCCCAAACCAGATTAAAATGTACTTTGGAAATATTTAACAAAATAAATAAAAATGCAGTAAAAACAGTCAATTTGTAGCCCACAGGATCCTTGTATGTGATTTTAGTGGCTCCTGTTTCTATTTGATACCATTGGACTAAACTATCCAGCTTTCCTGCAGTTCTTCCATTTGAAACTTTGCTAGCCAAGTACCTCCCTGCTCTCTGCCACTTTGTTTAAAAAAAAAAAAATTATAAGGGTTCGCATTGGGGCTACATGCTGTTTTTTCCTTCAGAATACTTATATAACATTAATTGTTTCATTTTTGTTCTCTGTAGGGCTCAGAGGAAACGTGGTATTGTGAAAAGAGCACTGGACAGTGGCCTGCATAAGGAATGACCAGCTGCCTACCAACATGAACAGGATATTGGCTGTGCAGAGCAGCCTTCTGGCATTGAGCCAAGGGGAAGAAGTAGTGGATTTTCTGAACAGCTATCCTGTAAGTGCCAGTGAGGATGAGGAAGACAGTGATGGAGAGAGAAAACATCTACAGCTCCTAGAGGCAATCAGTGGCTTGGATGGAAAGAGCAGGCAGAGATGGGCTGAGCGATCTGAGGCCAGTCTGCAGGTGTCCGAGTTCAGTGTCAGCACTGAAGGTATGGAGGAAAAACTCGCCCTTTCAGAACTGCTTAAACATACCAAGCCTTCTTCCTCATTGGCCAAAGTGAAAAGACAGCTGAAGAAAGTCAAAAGTAAGAAGCCTGTGGAGTTACCTCTCAGCAAAGAGGACACTGAGCAGATCTGTAGGGAAGCTGCATGCAGTAAAACCTCCCAAGCCTTGGCCAAGTGGGATGCAGTGGTTCTGAAGAACAGGAGAGCAGAACAGCTAGTTTTTCCCCTGGAAGAGAAACAAATACAAGTTGCCTGTATTGAGGAGGTACTCCTGGGTGACTGGAAGGCAAGAACTCCCCTGGAACAGGAAATTTTTAACCTCCTCCATAAGAACCAGCAGCCACTGAGCGATCCTTTACTGACCCCAGTAGAGAAGGCCTCCCTCAAAGCCATGAGCCTGGAGGTGGCCAAGCAGCGCCGAGCAGAGCTTCAGAAAGCCCGGGCACTCCAGTCCTACTTTGAAGCCAAGGCTCGAAGACAGAAGAAAATCAAAAGCAAAAAGTTTCATCAGGTGATAAGGAAGAAGAAGGCCAAAGAAGCCCTCAGGCAATTCAAAGGGACAGTCAGTCCTCCTGCCTTATTAGAAGAGCTGGAAAAGAGAGAAATGGCCAGAATGGTGGAGCGGATGAGCCTCCGTCACCAGAGCAAGGGGAAGTGGGCTAGGGCAAGGGCTGACATGGCCAAGCATGACCAGAAGACCCATAAAGAAATCCAGGAGCAGCTGGCCAGGAACACAGAACTGACCCAGAAACCTCACATGCCATCTGATAGCGAGCAAGAGGAATATGATGCACAAGAGGAATGTGAACTCATCCCTCATGTTGTGAACGAAGTGAAGAGGGGGCCAGACAGTCTGAGTCCCTGGATGCAGAGAAATCAGGGCCCTCATGAAGAGGTGTCCAAGACCCTGAAAGGCCCTCAGAAACCTTCCAAGGCTGTCGCCGGTGAAGAACCTGAGAGTGAGAAAGAAGAGAAGGTCATAGCAGAGGAGGAGTCTCTGCTGCAAGAACTTGAAAAGATGAGGTTCCTTAGGAGAAAGGGGGGCGTCCAACTGGAGTCACAGACACAGAGGACAAAAAAACCTAGAAGGCAAGACGATGAGGGCATATTAGCTGAACTAAGGGTTCTCTCTGCGAAAATCAAAAAGAAGGCAAGGCAAGACCGAAAGCAAAGTGAGAGGTCGGCTACCACAGCCCCCAAGGAGCCTGTCCAGGGAGTGAGCCTTGCCCAGGATGAGGAGGAACCCTTGACCAGAAAAAAGCCAGAGAGAGTACAGACACTGGAGGAGGTAGAGACTCTAGGAATGGGAGAAGGTGCCCAAGAACAGGAACTTCTCAAATCTCTAGCAGGAGGGCGGCCACAGCAGTCTCTGGGGAGTCCAGCTGAGCAGAGGCGTTCCCCAAAGATAGAAAAAGAGGTGGTGACTGATCTGCAGGCCAACCTCACTGTGAAATCCCACAAGGCAAGTGCTTTATCTCTTCCCACAGTGGTAGAAGAGGAGGACTTTGGGGAGGAGGTGGCCGCCCAAAAGCAGATAATAAAGGAGGCCTTTGCTGGGGATGACGTTGTTGCTGACTTCCTGAAGGAGAGGCAGGAAGCTGAGGAAGTAAGCAAGTCCAAGGCCGTGGCCCTGAGCCTGCCTGGCTGGGGGCAGTGGGGGGTTCCAGGCCTTGATGTGAGGATTAGGAAGAGACGCAGGTATCTCACTGGAGCCCCTGATGGTCCCCCAAGGAAAGGCAAGAGCTTGCCAAATGTGATCATCAGTGAGAAACGTAACATCCAGGCCGCTGCCCATAAGGTGAATGGGCTTCCATTCCCCTTCAGCCACCACTATCAGTTTGAAAGGACTCTTCAGACCCCTGTGGGTTCTACTTGGAACACGCCGAGGGCTTTCCAAGAAATGACTGCTCCTCGAGTTGTGGTCAAGCAGGGTCACATCATTGAACCCATAAAGGTGGTGGATGTGAGCTTCTAGCTGCTGTATTCAAGCCATTCTATCCTGCAGAAGAAACCACAGCAGTCTGTTCGTGCATGTCCCAGAAGACTGTTAAAGAAAGCACCCTAGGTCCTGTTGCTTGAGTGACCACCTTTTGTTGCCCCAGGGCAGGGAGAACTCACATTTCTCCCTTGTCTCTGCTTTGCCTTCAGCTGCTAAAATATGAAGCTAACTCAGTGTGTGGCCAGCGATATCACCTAATGGAAATAAAGCATACTTTCCAATTAAATAAAAGAGGGGCAGCTAGGTGGCGCAGTGGATAGAGCACCAGCCCTGATGTCAGGAGAATCTGAGTTCAAATCCAGCCTCAGACCAAACACTTGACACTAGCTGTGTGACCCTGGGCAAGTCACTTAACCCCCATTGCCTTAAAAAAATAAAAAATAAAAAATAAAAAGAAAGATATAAGAACACTGATGTTAATAAAAAAAAAAGATAGGTTCAATTAAATAAAAGAAAAAGTACTGGGCTTAAAGCAAAAGCAAGGAAGTTCCAATCTTTTTCAGTCCCTATGTTCCGTGGCTTTCAGTAAACTCTCCTAGACCCTCTATTAAGTATGAAAGGAAATAAATTCTAGAGTGTATCTTGCATATTTGCATAAGAAATAACATAAAGAAATTAATTTTTCATAAAGAAAACTTTATTTGACATATAACTTTTTAAACTATAAAAACATTAAATATTTACCAGAACATAGTAAAATAAATTAGCAAGAACCTTAAGTCTATTTTTTTGTTAACCAAAAGTTTTTATTCATGGTGTAGTTTTTGAAAGAGGTACCCACATATCATATTCAGCCTCCACTTTGTGCCTTGCTTTGGATTTTATTAGGATCATGAGTGAGAATCCTCATTCGTAGAGATAAGTTGTTATAAAGGGAATTAAAGCCTTGTAAGTATGTTTTAAGGTTGAAATATGCTTCTCTACAGATGTACGAAAAGTTTTGTAACTTCATTTATTAGAAATCAATTTGGAGTTAATGGTTACTGCCGTGATTGATTAGCTCATTTTTCACTGAGTTGTTCCCAATTTTTTTCTGGCTCAGTGTGAAAAACCTCATTTCATTTGGTTTTGACCAATAGGAAGTATTCTTTTTTATTGTTTTTCATCTTTTTCAGAATCACTAGAAAACTCCCCCCTTTTTCCACCTTTCCCCCACTTCCTCACCAGTTCTTTCTCTAATTCACAGATTTTTTTTCACAACTCTACTACTTTTGGAATATTTTTATTTGATAATATAATTATTTACTACATATTTCTCATGCCCCTCTGATAAACTCATACTAAATGGGAGTACCAGATTGGGAATCCCTGACAAGAGTCTGAAGGTCTGGATTAAACTTTCAGTTCTGTCACTTACTAGCTGGATGATTTAGGATAAGTCACTTCTGTATCTGCAAAATGGGGTCATATTGCTTCAAGGACTATGTTCTAAATCTTTTTTTTTGAGTCATGGACTGCTTTGGCAGCCTGGCAAAGCTTAGGGACCCCTCTCAGGGTAATAGTTTCCAAATTGAAGGAAATGCTAAATTGCAGTTAGAGACTAGCTAAAATAAAGATGTAATTTTTCTCATTCAAGTTCATAGATCCTCTGAAATCCATCCCCAGGCCCCATTTGAGTTATTATAAGGATCAAATGGAGTAATGTTTCTCAGTAAAGCACTTTGTTATATAAAGAGCTATATGAGTATGAGTCATCTTCCTGAGTTCAAATCTGGCCTCAGACACTTACTAGCTGTATGACCCTAGGCAAGTCACCTAACCCTGTTTGCCTCAGTTTCCTTATCTGTAAAATGAGCTGGAGAAAGAAATGGCAAACCATTCTAGTATCTTTGCCAAGAAAACCTAAATGGGGTCATGAAGAATTGGACATGACTGAAAAACAACCAAACAAGAACAAAAATATAAGTATGAACTGGAAGTCAGTGTGGCATAGTACAGAGGGTTAACCTTTGTTCTAGGAAGACCTGGGTTCAAGTCCTGTTTCTGATACACACTGACTGTATGACTTTGGAAAAGTCCTAACCTCTTGGTGTCCTAGACAGCTCATTGAGGCTCTGAGTTACCATTGAGTTGCCTTATCTGCATCAGATTATGAAATCAGGCATGAGGGTATAAAGTATGAGCTATTATTATAGCTAACTCCTGTGCCCTTTTATCCTCTATTTTTTCAGGTGGGGAGGCTGGAAGGGGAAGTAGGCCTAGCGGGGTAAGTGAATTCTCAGCCTCAGAAGAGAGAAAAAAGGCAGACAATCCTAGAGGTCTTGACCTTTCTCAAATAAGGAATTTGGGGTGGTACCTTATTTAGCATCGTAAAGATAGCATGGTTTATTAATATAGAAAAGCAAGGATGTGGTTTCTCCAAGTAGTTTGTTATCCTGATGGGATTCTAGGAAACACGAGCAGGATTTGTCCCTTTACATGAGATGAAGAGTATCAGATTCAGCGAGGGGTATTGGAGCCAAGTGAAGGTGGCCCCCATGAGCATAAGCGTGCTTTCAGCACTGCTCTGTTTGGAAGCTCTGCTCCTGCTAGGAAGCCAGCCAGGTGTGATCAGGGCTTTCAAACCTTTCTTGCTGATGAGCATTTGGCAGAATTGTCCTTACTTTGTTTGGGGGAGCAGAAGAAAGAGCCCCTCTTTGCAAAGGGCTGTGTAGGCAGCTAGCAGCAGGGAGCTCATTTTTCCTTTGATTAACCACAAGCTTAGCCAAAGAGATCACTCTGGGATTGAAGAATGGAAGGTTTTCTCTCCTCCCACAGTTTTGGAGGCGAATCAAGCTGATGCAAGAATTCAGGATGAACAAAATCCTTGAACCTTCTTGGAAGTGCCTTTGAACAACACTGAATTCTCAAAATTAGAACATGTACAAAAGACAAGCTTGTTCATTTTTTTGTAATGAAACCGAAGATGAAGATCTGAGTATTTCAGATGCTTACCATCAGGCTTTTATAAGTCACCCAGTATAACTGTTGACAAGGCTCAAGGATATTAAGGTTTCCCAAAAGTTCATTTATCTTCTTAATGTGTCTGGGAGGCATTAAACACATTTGATTTTAATTTTAACAGAACATCCATGATTTCAGAATAAATTCTGCCCTTGTTAATTGTGAAAATTAATCTGATTTATTTCCTTTAGATTTTCTAATGCTTCTGGAAAAAGTCTCAGAAAATATATAGCCTATGACTTATCAATACTTTAATTGAACAAAGTGATTATGTAAACTCCAGTAGAGAAAAATAATTCCTAATTTAATTTTGGATCTCTGTGAAATTAGAACATTTCATTGTGTGTTGGTTGACATGATAATCATCTATCTAATGAACTGAGTTCTTTCCTCCAGTAACTAATATGAGCTGAGCTCCCAGGATATCACTACTGGCAAAGGTGAAATCACATGGAATCACAAAATCTCAAGAGTTGAAAGTGATCTTAGAGGCCATTGAGCCCAAGCCACCCTTGAACAAGAATCCTCTCTATAACATTCCCAACAAATTTTCATCTACTGGTTTAACATGGAGTACAATTGGAGTGTTTGCAAGTTTTCACGGTGGGGGATTAGGAACATTGATCACTGTCAGAGATATATAACCCTGGGACTAGAGCTGGGAGAGAGAAACTTATAGGCCATTGAGTCCAACTCCCTTATTTTACAGATGAGGATACAGAGGTTGGGAGCAGGGAAAGGACTTGTCCAGGGTAATACAGCTGGTAACTGGACAAGGCATAATTCCATTTCAGGTCCAGTGTGCTATCCTTTGTTGACCTCCCTGCTGCCATCTGTTGAGATCTTCAGGAAAAGAATAAGTTATATCCTGATCCAGATGGAGTGTGAAGACAGGGGACTGGATAATTTTTAGACATGTCTTTTAGCTCTGTGATTCTGTGATCCTAGAACTAGGCAGCAAGCAAGCCCAGGTATGCCCTACAAGGTACAATAAACCGTCTCCTTTTTGTGTCCCTTTGATAGGTGTGAACTCCCCTTGTCACCCTGTCATTGCCCTACTGAGGACACCTTTATGCTGACGGACTAAAGTTTACTGCTAGTTGCGTACATGGGCTAGTCCTTGGGGTTGGCCTCTCAAAGGGAGGTCATATGCTATGGTAGCCCAGAAAAAAACTCTAGCCTCCTGGGCTAGGTGATCTTGGTACAGGCTGTTTCTGCTCTACACAGATGCCCCTTTTTTAGAGGCAGCGAGATGGCACAGGGAATAGAGCACTGGGCCTGGAGACAGGAAAACCAGAGTTCAGATACAACCTCAGACACTTAGTAGCTGTTCCCCTAGGCAGTCACTTAATCTCTTTTCCTCAGCTGTAAAGTGGGGATAATAATAGGTTTGTTTTAAGAATCAAATGAGAGAGTATCTAAATGCTATTCCTTTCCTCCTGTACAGGGTGGCAATACCAAGCAGGAGTGTTTTCTCTGGATCACTTTACTCACCCCCCAATACCTTCCTTGCTGGAAAGTAAGGACAGGCTTTAATGAGTGGGAAGTTTTTTCATAAACATCAAATCTCTCTCTTTTTGAAACTTCTACTTATTGCTCCTGGTTTTATCCTCTAGGTAAGAAATCCCAGCCTTGCTTAGGATCAGAGTCCTAACTCTTCGCTTTACAAATGAGGAAGCCAAAGCCTAGAGGTAAGTGGCTGGCTCCAAAGCAGTAAGAGGTACTCCAGCTCCGGTGTTCTTTTTGCTCTGTGTCCTTTGACAACCCTTGGGATGTTGAAAGACAGCTAACCCATCTGCCCTTGGCCTGGTCTTCTCCAGACTAACTAGCCCTGGGTCCTTCACCTTATCCTTATAGGGCATGATCTTGAAGTCCCTTACCATCCTGTTCCCCCTCCTTCAGACACTTTTCTAGCTCATCCATGTCCCCTCAAGAGAGAACTTTGAAGGAGACAAGTCCTAGCCCTTTTGGCATTGCCATTTTCATGGGTGAGATTACCAGAGCCATTTTATCAGACTTCTACTTCCAAGGCAAAGTCTTTAAAGATCAAAAGCTTATTTACTTAAGGAAAATTATTTTTCATTCTTTTTATTTTAGTAATCTAGTCTCTTCAGAGCATATATGAAAACTACTGCATACTTTCCCCATCAAGTACCCATCCCACAAATTCCACAGGGTAAATAGAAGCTTTCTTCTATGCCCCATGGGCAGTCCTCTCAATAAATCCCTGAACAATTTTATCTACTGGAAACCAGGGTCCAGGATTTGACCATCCACTTAGCCAGTGCTCTCTTTCTTTTATTAACACCTTTTCCTCACTTAAAAAAGCAATCTAACCACAAGGCCATAACAGAAGAGCCC